GAGATTGGGTCTCCGGAGTGACGTTTTACGGGTTTTTACGGGCTTTTGAAAAGGCATAGGAGGAAGGAGTCATGGGAGATCCTTAAATCTTTAAGTGTAGGAAATGATCTTTCGTGGATGGTTATGGGAGACTTTAATGATCTTATGGTGACCTCGGACAAGCGTGATAAAGTTCCTCATCTGCCTTAGCTTCTGAGAGGGTTTCGGGAAACTGTCTGGGTGTGTGCCCTTCAGAACTTTGCTTTTAAAGGATACCAGTTTACATGGGAGCGGTGGAGGGGTTCGCCAAACTGGGTTGAAAAGAAACTTGACAGAATTCTTGTGATAGAGGGATGGCTAGATATTTTTGGGGAGGCCTGGGCCGAATCATTTGAGGGAGCTCATAGCGATCATCTTGCTCTCTTTATAAAATTAATTCCTTCACTGGAGATGCACAGGAGGCCCAATTTTAAATTTGAAAATGTCTGGCTCAGGGAAGTGAACTGCCGCAAGATTGTTGCTTCCAGTTGCGGGCTTGGCCGAGAGCTTCGCATTATGGGGCAGGTTCAAGCTTGCGGAAAGGCAGTGAGTGATTGGGGTTATTGGAAAATTGACTCTTACGGCAGGAGGATTAATTTATGCAAAAAAAAACGTTTGGACAATCTTCGCAGACGTACATATGCATGGAGTATCAATGAATTTCAGAGAGTTAAACAAGAGTACTTGGGGCTGCTGGAACAAGAAAACATTTATTAGAGACAAAGAGCCAAAGAATTTTGGCTACAAGGGGGAGATCTAAATACCAAATTCTTTCATAATTCAGTAAAATATCGGCGGCGGAAGAACAAAATTGAAGGTTTTGGGTTGGATGATGGCCGTTGATTTTAATTTTCAAAATTATATTAAGAAAATATGATATTAATAAGCTAGAAATAATTAACGATACTACATATATATAACTAAACATAAAGCAAAAGAAAAGCTTATACAAAATTATACGAAGTACTATGTATTCTCTCTGTTCCAAAAAGATTGATCAACTTAAATTTTTCTGGTCAACGGTGTTAAAGTTTACATAATGATTTTAGTTATTATGTTTTTGTATAATTTATAAATTTACACTTTTATGAAAGATTTTTTAACAAAAAAAAAATCATATAATTTTCATATTTTAAATAATTTTGTATTAAAAAATATCATTGTTCATGACCATGCAGTACTGTTTATCAAGAAGAGTGAATTTGACTAAATTTTTTTGAATAGAGAGTATATAAAAACGCTTAAAGAGGCTTTTTTAAGCACGAACTTCAGCAAAATAAAATTAAAAAGTAGCACTAACCTTATTTTCTTCGCCGCATCACGTTCTCCTTAAATTATGCCCCAATTTACTTTGATAAAGAGAATTAGAAAATGAAAATAGCATAATTGAGATTATATGAGTATAAAAGAGAGAAGTACACTTTATATTACTCTTTTAAAGGAAGTAGCTTATTGCCTTATTGGTTAGTTTTTTATGTCCATAATTTAGTTTCTTACTCTTTTCAGGAAGTAGGTTATGGGTTAATTTCTAAGTCCATAATTTAGTTTCATACTTCGTACTTCGTAATAAACTTCACTGCTTTTAGAAAAAATTGAAATCAAACCACTGGAAACTTACATAGAACTTAACAATGTTTTTTGTAGTACGATTTGAATAATTCAGCTGCCAAATTAGCGAAAAATTAATGTCTTAAAGTGGTTGATAAGCCAACAGAGTTACTCCGTACAAAACAGCTATGAGCTAAGAAAGGCAGTAGCCAGCAATACCTATGTATATGGTCTTTCATGCCTTAAAGATTTAATTTTTTTTGATAATCCAGTTGTCGGGGCTTACATTCCCATAATCCTGGAGTCTATGAACTACCCTCCAAAGCCCCTAGCCAGTTAAATCCGGATCTGATCACAGTCAGCCTCGTCAGTACTGGCTCCAAAGGACGAATCCAGCAGGACTTACATCACCTTTCAGGCTCCTCCTCCCACCACACGAACCCGCTACCTCCATTACCATCCTCTCCCTCCCCAGCCGCTGAACAACTCCGTGAATGTAGGAAGAATCATTGGAAGCAAGACCTCCCTCATCTCCCCTTGATGGGAATTGAACCCAAGACCTCCCACAAAGGAGAGACTTGGGGGTGGATGGTCATCCAATGGACTACACCCACCTTCCCATGTCTTAAAGATTTAAGATGAGCTGTGAAGTCAACCTCTTTCAGTGTGTTGTTTTATTTAAATATTTAAATTTTATTGTATACTATCTTCCGTTCTGTTTTAATCGCAACATGTTGAATTTTAATCTATTTACATGCTCTACTTTAACTACATTTTACGCTATTATTTTATGAAAATTATTTTTTTAAAAAAATACTGTTCAATTCATCTCATTACAAATTTTCAAAATCTGATTTTTAATATAGTTTTTACTAATAGAATTAAGATATAACTACGGTCAAACAAGTGCGTTGGCAAATATGAAATATTGAATGTTGCAACTAAAAAAGAACGAAAGGAGTATATAACAATTTGATTTTCCGAACATGTAAACTTTAAGTATTCAATAATTAATTTAATAATTAAATTTTATTTTTTAAAATTGATTTAACTTTATATTTATCCTCAATCAATTTTAAAATCAGCAAATACCAACTCAAAATTATATTACTCAGGGACGGATTTGTGGAGGGACGACCACCCCCTGTACTTTCAAAAGTTTCTACTTATATTATATACTTGTATGTAATATGTTCTTAAAACTTTCATACTTTAATTAGATATATATGTGCTTGTGTAATATGTGCCTCCTTAACTTTAAATTTTAAAAATTAATATAGTCTTACATAATATGTAGTATAATACTTAATAAGAAATTTAAACGGAGAAACATTTAAAATAATTTATCATTAATTGGAAAGATAAATAATAGAGCACCTCATTAATTTAAGACTTAGAATACATACTTATTATATAAAATTTTTAGTTTTGTAATGTTTAATTATCTTTATTAGATAATTAGTACTCGACTTTGTAAAATATCAAACGATATTAAATATGAGATACACTAGTTAAACAACTTTTAGATCATCATGTAACGTGAATCCAAAATATAAATGTTTGTATAACATTAAGTTATACAATTCATGTACACAACAAAATAATTTATTGTGGAGATAATAAAGTTTAACTTATTTTAGCATTAATATAAATAACATATTCACCATATGTAAGAAATAGCAACATAATAATTTAATATTCTAAAGGTAAATGATCTCGTAATATTTAGAAAGCTTCTGGTTGCATACGAACATCTTTGGTAGACTAAAAATGTAATTCAAAAATCAATTCTTTATTCTGATAAGATTCATGCGATTAAACAAGTTAAGACATAGGTTACTTAAAAGTATTGATGGACGTATACACTTTAGACCGTTTATCTTCAAATAATTTAATAAAACTGTATTTTTTTATTTTCAAATAATTTTTCTTTGATTTGATAGTTCTTATACTCTATGTACCAATATTGTTTTATTCAACACTTCAATCAAAAAATCAAATTTAATTTTTTTCACCGTGTAAATTTAGAGTAAGCATATTAAATGTCGTGTATGAAGTAATTGTATTTTGTTAATACGGAGTAAACTATAATCTCTACTACCTCCATCCCAAAAAAGTTCGTCATATTGACTTTTCGTATTTAATGATGGTGAACTTTGGAATAATTTTAATTATTATATTTGTATATAATTTATAAATTTTAGATTTTTATGATTTTTTTTTTTTGAATAAGGAACATTTTGATATAATTTCATATTAAAAATTATCATTGGGTAAATTATTTGTCATTGACCTAGAAAAGTCAATTTGGCTAACCTTTTTGGGAGGAGGGAAGAGGAATTCTATATCGCCCCTAGCCTAAAGTAGGTATTAGTATATAAAGAAATTATACTAAATGGGACTAAAACATGGTTAAAACTCCAAAATAGGACTTCAAGTTTTAAATTGCCTAAATGAGACTCCACATTACATTTTTGCCCTTCTGGGATTAAAACCACAATCTGCGTCGCTATTGACTACATCCCCAACGCAACCACTATATCCGCCATCAGCCTGGGATCAAATCCCTATTCAACATAAAAAATTTCCGATCCATCTTGGGTGCCAACAACCTCCCTCTCACCACTCCGGCCAGCCAAACCCTCCCGGCGAACCAGACACTGAAGATTCCATTCATGGATTAACGATGCTTGTTCCAATCGTGATTCTATATGCTTTCAATGTTGTTCTTAAAATTCAAAAATAGAGCTTTGTTGATTTTTAAGATTCAAATAAAAAATTTTATTTGAAACTTTGGGATTTGAAACTTTTGGATATGAACTTCCCATCCTCTTCAAATCTGGGTCCTCTGTTTTCTTCTTCTTTAGATTTCCAGAAAATGACACTTTTTGAATAAGAGAATGTCATTGTTGTGTCATTATTGGTCATTTTTAAAAAATGTCATTTTTATGTCATTACAGTATTTGAAAATGTCATATTGAGAATGTCATGTATCTATACGAAATTGTCATTATTGTGTCATTATGCATATATTAAGTGGCATTCTCGCATCTGAAGTGTCATTCCTCATGGAAGTCTACACAGGCTCACTGGAGGGTAGAGTTTTGTTAGAGAATAATGACAGCGTACTTGTTGAGGCGTGAAGGTGGTCGCAGACTTGATGGATGGTGGCAGAGCCTCCATTGGTGGAGGAGCCGATCTTGGAGGCCTGGAAACGCACAAGGCACAGCATTTGCGTAGCAGGGGAATCGCATATGCGCAGCAAAGGCCCCTGCGAACTCTTCATTAAGGGCATTTTTGGTAGATTACCTCTTTTTAGTCTTATTTTTGTCAAATAAAACATTGCAGTCCTGTTTTTGCAATTCTACCTAATTTTAGTCCTATTTAGGTAAATCTCTCTAGTATATATACTCCACCAATTAACCTGATTTTGTATACCTGTGATTAATCATCAATTAAAAAGATGACTGGTAAAGACGACCAGCTCCACGTTTTCTTCTTCCCGATGATGGCTCACGGCCATATGATTCCAACACTGGACATGGTCATGCTCTTCGCTTCCCGCCATGGGATCAAGTCAACGATAGTCACCACCCCTCTCAACGTACCCTCCATCTCCAAAGCCATACACAAACACAAACAGTCAGGTTTCCAAATAGAAGTCCGTTCAATCTACTTCCCCGGAGTCGAGGCCGGCTTGCCGGAAGGCGTCCAGCACTTCGACCATTTCACCTCCGACGGTTCAACCTTTCCCTCTTTCTTCAAGGCCTGCAGCATGCTCCAAGAACCCCTCGAGCAGCTCATGGAGGAGCTCCGCCCGGACTGCCTCGTCGCCGATATCTTCTTCCCGTGGGCGACGAGGGCCGCCGCCAAGTTTGGTATACCAAGGCTGATCTTTGATGGAACCAGCTATTTTTCCGTTTGTGCTAAACACAGCCTTTTGACTTATAGGCCTTTTGAAGATATTTCTTCTGAGGATTCAGAAACCACCTTTACCATTCCTCATCTTCCTCATCAGCTCAAACTCATCCGATCCCAACTCGCGCCTTATGAACGAGACCTTTCATATTCATCTACAATGGCGGAATTCGGGTTACAAGTAATGGAAGCAGAGAGGACGAGCTATGGGGTAATCTTTAACAGCTTCTATGAACTGGAACCGGACTATGTGGATCACTTCAAGAACGTCCTCGGTAGAAGGGGCTGGTCTGTCGGGCCGCTTTCCATTCAAAACAAGAAGGAAGACGACATCGGAGAAAAATCCAACCGAGGGAGGAAAGCTTCCATCGGCAAGAAAGATTGCATAGAGTGGCTGGATTCTAAGAAACCCAACTCCGTCGTTTACGTCTGCTTCGGAAGCATGGCGAACTTCGCCGCTTCCCAGCTGACGGAAATGGCGGAGGGGATAGAAAGTTCCGTGCAGGACTTCATTTGGGTGATCAGAAATAAGAAAGGAGAAGAGATCGGAGAAGAGAAGGGAGAGGAGTGGATGCCGAAAGGGTTTGAAGAGAGGACCAAAGGCAGAGGGCTGATCATAAGAGGCTGGGCCCCGCAAGTGCTGATTCTAGACCACCGAGCCGTGGGCGCGTTCGTGACTCACTGCGGGTGGAACTCGACGCTGGAAGCAGTCTGTGCCGGGGTGCCGATGGTAACGTGGCCGGTCTTCGCGGAGCAGTTCGTGAACGAGAAGCTGGTGACTCAGATTCTGTTGACCGGAGTCGGGGTCGGGTCAAAGGTGTGGGCCAACGTGGGCAGTGACGGGGTGAAGAGGGAGGCCATTGCAGAAGCCATCACGAGGGTGATGGTCGGGGAGGAGATGAGGAGGAGAGCGGCGGCGTTGAAAGTCAACGCAAGGAAGGCAGTGGAGGAAGGAGGGTCTTCTTATTCGGGCCTGACTTCTCTTCTGGATGAACTAAAGATGATTAGGGCTGACCGTTTGGGTAGTTCTTCCCACAAGACAGTGGTGAGTAACGGGCCGGGCGGAGCATGCATGGAACATGCATGGCCCAATCATTTATGCGACCGTAAAGTCGTTCCACCCTAGTTCTGAGGGAGTGGACTAGTAGGTTTATGTCCGGCACGTTAATTCACTAGTTCATTTCAAATCGTATTAATTAATGGATAATTAATGGTCGCATGTTTTTATATTATATATCGAAAGAGATCGCATGAATCTCCTTGTCCATCAATTGTACGAAGTGCATTCTGATTAGTATCTACGTACTTGAATAAACAAGAAGAATAATCGCCAGGCGAGAGATTCGTCAAATGACCCCCAACATGTTTGAGAATGTAGACCACTCAAATGCTTTCAATTTGATAGATGCCGTTGTTTCGTATTTCATTACGGGTAACAAATTACTCGTAATGAAATTACTCCGTCCCGGTCATTTCTTCCGGTTTTGGCCGGTATCGGAAATTTAGGTAGTAGAAATAAAGTGAAGATGTATAGTTGTAATTGTGTAAGAAAAAGGTGAATGAATATGAACCACATATTTTTTCCAAAAGTGAAAGTTGGAAGAATTAATCGGGACGACCTAAAAAGGAAAGTTGGAAGAAATGACCGGGACGGAGAGAGTATAATAACAAAAAAATCAATATTATTTCGGATGTTTTCCATTTGGATTATTATCAGTTCCAGACAACACTGAATCAGATTTAAACAGATTAGATCAGATCAGATCATACCAATTCAGATCAAACCGGACTTTTATAGTTAAAAAGTACTCCCTCCGGTCCTTATTAAACTTTACACTTTGACTTCACACATATTAAGGAAATAAATTTGACTTTACTGTAAAGTACACTGTTTGGCACTGTTTGACACTGTTTTGCACTATTTGGTGTAGATTTGTTTGCCAAACAAGGCAAGTAAGGAAGTGTAAAGTTTAATATGGGACGACCCAAAAAGGAAAATGTAAAGTTAATTAAGAACCGGAGGGAGTATATACAGAGATCAGAAGTTTACAGACCAGACCAGTTAAGATCAGATAAAACCAAATAAGCCTTAAACAGACCAGATCATCACACCGGCAAATTTCAATCCAAGTAAAAAAATCATTAAACTAAATGTGTAAAATTTGATGCAAAATATTGATTCTATTTCCAAACTTCAAAAACAACGCCTAATTCATCCAGGAATTATATAGGTGAACTTTATAATATACTCCGTATGACATATGATATATACTAGTACTCCCTTTGTCCCAAAAGGTTTACCAAATTGTTTTTTCATGGTTAATGACAATCAACTTTGATCAATGATATTTTTTAACAAGAAACTATTTTGAATATGAAAATTATACCAAAATGTTTCTTATTCAAAATATTTTCATAAAAGTATAAATTTTATAAACTATATACAAATATAATCATCAAAATTATTGCCCAACGTTTGTCATCATTAACTATATACACTTTTGTTGTTGTATATAGTTAAACCATTTGTTGTTGTACATAGTTAAGTTTTGACCTCTGAATCAGTTTTCTACCTCTGCCATTGGCAGGGTGACTTAATTGGCAAATTTCTGATACCGGAGAGGAAGATCTAGAGGCCGGCGGTCTGGCAATGACAGCGGTTTTTGGCGGTGAAGGAAGTGGGAGGTGGCTGGAAGTCGGGTAGTGACTAGTGGTTGTGTTGCTCTCCGGAAGTGAAATTTATCAATTTATTGTAATACAATCAAGGTGTTTTATTTTAAGTAATTCAATATATTTAAGTACTGGTATTTGTAATAGAAATATGCAACGGTGTATGTTGATTTTTTTTTATTAAATTAGAAAAATAAATTTTCACGTTTTTTGTGTTTATAACTTAATTTTAGGTATCATAATTTTTCCAAAATAAATAAGTTTCTGATACTAAATCTAATTCATTGATCATGAAAAAACATGTGGCTTTAAAAAAAGTTTGTAGTATTACATGTTATGAATAACATGTTGTTTTTTTTCATAGGGATCAGATGGAAAATAATGAGAGCGCCCAATTGTGGTAACAGGTCAGGCGGGTGTTAGACTATTGGACTCATACTACATGTATTATTCACAATATATTATTTATTGAGTTTAATTGTATGTTATATGTTATCTTATATTTAGATTCAAAATTAGTGGTCTTATGGATATTAATCTAAGTGGGCTAATGAGTTATCTAATAAGGTATAGATCCTAAATGTGTAGAGACCTATGGGCTTGACCTAATCAATGATGGGCTGATTAGGTTAAGCATTCTCTATAAATAAGGGGTTATGGTCCATAGTTGAACGCGTCATTCTGTCTTTCTGCATCCCATCGCTAGAGAGATAATTCTCGAGGGCGTGTATCAGCTAGAAGACGCAAACCCTAGCCTCCGTCTCCCGAATCCCTAAAGATCATCTCTCATGAAGTCAGGTACGCTTCTGCTCAGTTAATTCTCTAGATAATTCCAATATGAAGATTAAAGTATTCATGGATTATATCCAACAATTGATATCAGAGCCTCCTTCATATTGAATTAATTGGAGTATACCAATTTTTGTTTCAATTTTTAACGAAACAATTGAGTTTTAATCGGATGTTTTTTTTTCAATCGTTGCTACAGTTTCAGATTGAAAATTTGATAAATGATATGTTGATTAGTTAAATCTGGGATGCGTTTATTTTCAATCGTGATTCGCGATTGGATTTTCATTGAATGATTAATATTATGATGGATTGCTCCGATTTGCTGTGTTCGTTTTCTTTTACGGCAACTCTGCTTATTTTAATCGCATATGCTATTAAGATGTGAGTAGGATAAATTTATGTGATGAGTCAAGCACTTCGATGATCATATCCATATTCTGCTGAGTTTTTTTTACAAAGTGCAATGCTGCCCAGTTACGTCACTTGGGTTTTCTGTTTTTTTTATTTATTTATTTTGTTCAATCAATCTTGGGATTGAAGTGTCCAACACACGTGATTGAAGGTTTATTTTATGATTTCATTATCTATAATTACAAGAATCATTTGTGTGGATTTGGGTTGGTAGTAATACCAAAATCACTCATACGAAATATAATACTCGTATATTTAATTTTGGAGTCACTAAGAAACTCCAATATTTGTTAATGATTTCTTCCCATTTTTTGAGTCAACCGAATCATATGTGTATCAAATTAAAGTAAATTTTGATATGTTTCCCTTTTTCGGTGATTCAATTTTGGAATTTTCTATGGCTTTGGTAATTAAGTACATATATGTGATTACCGGTTTTGATAATTAAATACTTATATGTAATTACGGTCAACATATTAGTTCTATCAGAAATACACGATTTTGCATTACCGGAATATATTATTTTGGTCGTTGTAATTTGTGGCTTGAAAATGTGTATTGTGTGTTATGGGATATATAAACCCTATTTTGCGATCGCACAGCGATTGCGTACGGGTTTTACAAAGTATCGTTATACATAACACATTTGCATGTGATTCAGAAAATTCGCCCAATTTTATTTTTTAGATTTTTTGATTTAATATTAGCATGTCTAATATTTGGGTTAGTTAATTGACACAACATGCTGCCAAAGTAGCCTCTCTTGTTGAAATTAATTAAATCATGTATTAAGATGATTGTGTACTTTCTTACTTCATGCGGATAATAATCGGCCCAAAGAAAGGTTATTATTTGGCCGAAATTTAAGTACATTTGTGATAATAAAATTTGTGATGATTATGAAGTTTTTCGTGTGAATATTAGGTCGGTCCAAAGAAAGACTTAATATTTGACATGATTTTATTATCGAAATTTTATTATCACACCAAGAGTACCACTTGCAAGTCTAATTTATGTCCAAAGACAAGATTAGATGTTGCGCTAGGTATCTTGTGATGGGGATTGCTAATATTTATATTTAAAATTAATTATCAAATTAATTTCAGTTCCTAGAGCATATCATTTCGATTATTTTTTGTTCGCTTTCATTCAACAATTCTGCTGCTACAATATCTGCTAATATTAATAGCATCCCAGTGCTTAATAGCACGAATTTTAAGGAATGGAAAGAGAACGTTATGATTGTTCTCGGTTGCATGGATCTAGACCTTGCACTTCGGATTGAGAAACCCGCCGCTCTTAAGGACACATCTACCCTTGATGAAAAGAGGGAGATGGAGAGGTGGGAACGCTCAAACCGCATGATTCTAATGATCATGAAACGTGCAATTCCAGAATCATTCAGGGGCACAATATATGTCTGATGAGGTTGATGCCAAATCGTTCCTTGCCGAACTTGAAAGCGTTTTGCTAAAAACGAAAAGGCGGAAACTAGTACTCTTTTGAGCACTCTTGTTTCCATGAAGTACAAAGGCAAAGGGAACATAAGGGAGTACATTTTGAAAATGTCTCATATTGCTTCAAAACTAAGTGCACTAAAGCTTATTTTACCTGAGGAAATGCTTTTGTATTTAGTTTTGATCTATCTTCCTTCTCAATTTAATCAATTTAAAGTCAATTACAACTGCATTAAGGAGAAATGGTCTCTCAATGAGCTCATTTCTCATTGTGTTCAAGAGGAAGAGAGAATAAAGCAAGATAAGACAGAAAGTGCTCATTTGGCATCTACCTCTAAGGGCAGCAAGAAAAGGAAAATTAAGGAAGCTGCAAATTCAGGGCCTCCCAGGAAGCATCATAAGGAAACTAAGGAAGAAACTAAGGAATTTGGATGTTTCTTATGCAAAGGGACTAATCACAAGAAAAAGAACTGCACTAAGTACCACGCCTGACGTGCGAAAAAGGGTACGTCTCTTGCTCTTGTTTGTTCTGAGGTTAATTTGATTTCGGTACCAAAAGACACTTGGTGGGTAGATTCCGGTGCTACTACTCACATAAGTGTATCTATGCAGGGTTGCCTGAGCTGCCGAAATCCAATTGATGGTGAAAGATACATCTATGTCGGTGATGGCAAGCGGGTTGAAGTTGAGGCTATCGGTGTTTTTAGATTATTATTAAAGACTGAGTTTTATTTGGATTTGAAAGAGACATTTGTTGTGCCTTCATTTAGGCGGAATTTAATTTCTATTTCTGCATTGGACAAATTTGGTTATTCTTGTTCATTTGGAAATAGTCAGTTTAGTCTATTTCAAAATTCAAAAACTTATTGGTACTGGTCTTTTATCAGTTTATGATGATCTATATTCACTTGATATAAATACCTCATATAATGAAACCTTGCATGCAAGTACTCGTGGTACTAAAAGAAAATTAACCAATGAGAATTCATTTTCACTATGGCACAAGCGTTTAGGACATATTTCTAA